CCCCAAAACCCCAAAACCCCAAAACCCCAAAACCCCAAAACCCCGAGATACAGAAATATCTGTTTCGTCTTAATTTATAGAATAGAAGTTAATTTATTAAGAAATTCAATATTAAAATGGCATCGATGTTTTCTTCAGTTTAAAAATCATCTTTACTAGTAGATCTCAAATAAAATAAAGCTTTGCCAGTAGGTCCAAACAATATAAAAGTAAATTTCAATTCTTCAATTTGATAGTTATCAACTACTTCGAATTTTAATAAGAGTGTTGGTGGTACAACAAGTTACTTTCTGCAGTCACAAGCAGGTTCAGGAACAAGTAGTGTTACTCACAAAGAATATATTAAAAATATGCTACTGACGAAATTCAATAAAAAATACGCTTCAGTAAATGAAAAGGGTGTACCAACTACAGATTTTTAAACTAATTAAATTATCAATAACGAAGTGCTGAATTTCATAAGAACTGAAAAGCTTAACAGAGACAACCTGAAACTGTTAGAAGCAAAGATAGATTAAAAGCTCTAAAATAAAAATCAAAAACTTACTAGGCTAGGAAGCTAGTCAAACAACTTGAAACTTAATGTAAACTAATTGGTTAGCGAGGAACCAGGTAAATTCAGATCAATGTCTAGAATAAATAGTAAAAATGGACTACTACCACAAATTAATAATATGGCTGCTACTGGATAGAATTTCTTGAGTTAAAATTAAGATTAGGATGTTTAAGAATAGAAATTCTCGTAAACTTAAGATGTTAGAGATATAAGACTTCAACCAATGATTTCTGTTGATAATGGTGATGGATAAGAAGGTTATTCTTAGAGAACTCCTTTGATATTTGAGTCCCCTGGTCATAAAAGAGAAAAGGATCGATCAATTAAGAGCGAGTTATCTAATGATGATGAATGGGCAGAAGTTGATAAGTATCGTAAATTAATACACGAAAGAGACCTTATGCTTTAAAAGGAGAAAAAAGAGTAGCAAAAGTAGTTTACTAAAACGATTCTAGATGAGTAGATAAAAGAAAAGCAATAAAGAATGAAGTAATTTAGATAAGAGAAATAGAAGAATGATGGAATGGTTTTGAACCAAGTTTCTGAATATAAGAGACAATAAGAGTTGATGAAGATCGAATAATAGAGGAAACTTCTTGAATAAAAATAATAAAGAGAAACACAACTCTAAGTTGTAAATGATTAAAAAAAAGCTCAAAAGAGAGCTAAAAAGCAATATGAAATGTAGTTGATAGATGATTTCAAGCATCAGATTTAGACTGAAAAGGAAAAGTAAATGTAAAAGAAAGAATAGCTCAAAGAAAGAGCCGAAGAGATGAAAAAAGAGAATGAAATGAACAAAGCTATTAAAATGGAAAACAAAATGAAATAAAGAGAATAAGATGTAATGATGTCGAAATAGTATGTAGAGATGGTAAATGAATAAGAACGTAAAAAGGTTGAAGAATTTCAGAAGAGGGAGAAAAAGATTTCTGATTTTATGAGTAAATTAGAAAAAGGAGCATTGGCTGAAGTAAATAAAAAGCAAGCTTATTTAGAGGAATAAATTAGAAAATATGAAGAAAAAAAGCAAAAGGAAGATTACTTAGACGATGAGAGAAGAAGAAAGAAGTAGATTGATCGAAAGGAGGAGCTTAAAAACATCTTGAAAGATTAAATGGAAGAAAGAGAGATGAAGAAGAAATTCGTGAAGGATATGAATAATGTATACGTGCAAATTTTCAAGGACAAGCATGAAAGAGAGATTGAGAAAGAATAGCAGGAGGCTGAAATACTTAAACAAAGGCAGAGAGAGGTCCAAGAGCATGTACGCAAATAGATCGAGGAGAAGAAGGCCAGAGGGAAAGGAATGACTAATGATGAATTTGAATTCAATAAGGATTTGTTGAAAGAAATAGTCACGAAAGGAAAACAACTTAGAGAAACTGTACAGTCTACTTAGATGCATAATGGAGCGAAAACCTAATTATCTCAAGGATCACCTTATGAGATATACAGTTTGTGATGGACCGATTAATAGAATTCAACCGATCTAATCTCTAAATTCTAATGAATATTATTTTGATTAAACTAAATATAGTGAAAATTAAAATACTCAATATTTAAGTCACATTTTATATATCTCTTCTGAAGGTTAACTTATAATTTTTCAATAATATCATATTCATATATTGTCTAGTAGAGCGAGCTTTGACCTAATGGCTTCCACTAACTTATCTCCAACTATTTGCTAATTTTGATAAACGTTCGACATGATTTATTGATTGTACATTTAACTATGCATTGGAATCTCCTTAGGATATCTTATTTTAGCTTCATACCTCAAGGCTTTTTCCTCCATTTACTAGGCATTAGTCTGTATGAATTCTATTTTCTCGTGATTAGTTAAGTATTGCCCGTTTTTCTCCAAAAATTACTCAGCCCACTGCTTTTTATAACTTGAGTTTAATTGCTAATTACTTATACTGCTTAATTTATTATTCACTTTTTGAGGAGTGATAAATGGCTCAATTTGTATTTTTTTAGCCTTGAGATTATTTATTGATGGGCTTCCACTTATTGAATTCGATATTGAATTTTTACTAAGTGGAGGCAGCAAAAGCTTATCGTTTTTGTAATTTTATCTTTACTATATTTATGGATTAGCAGTATTTCAACCTTAAATATTGATTTAACTAGTTCTTGCTTGTTTATTTTATGATTATTAAGACTCATGCTCTGTGATTTTTTATTATTATCTTAACCTTGAAGCTTCTCTCTTTAACTCATCACGATCTAATTCTAAAGGCAAATTAATTTCCTTGATATATTTTGCGTAATTATTCCTTCGATCCTCTTTTTCTCTGGCAACTGCTTTTTATCGATCAAATGTTGAATAAATATTAGATCGATTGCTATTGATCCTTGAATTATTGCTTTACTTCTTCCTAGATTTATTCCCAAAGAGATCTTCTTCATCAGACATAAATTCAATATCTTAGTAAACTTAATCTAGGGTAATTTTTCTTTGTTATTTGAATAAATTTCCACCTGCTGCATATGCTCTTTCCTTCAGCCTATCATCGTATTATCTTTGATGATTTAGAAGTTCACTATGTTCAAGAGGTCTATGCTAAGATTTAATTTCAAGAAGTTTCATCTTTTACTATTACTAGTCCATATTGATCTGCTCATTATACTTCTATTCTAATTCTTTAAAAAGAGGAACTTTCGGCTTCCATTTAAGCTTTTGCTTGGTCAATATACTTCAGTTGTTTTGCTGAGGATATTTTTATATTGAATAATGACTTTTTTTTCTTGAACCTAGCTCAAATAGATCAGCTATATCTCTTTTAGGGGAAACTGATGGAAGTAGGTTGTTGTTCTAACCAGCTTAATCTACAAGACTAGTTTAGCCTCTCCGAGCTGAAATAAATTCTAACTATGCTCTACTTAATGCATCTGCTTACTTCTAAATCATATTTTATACTTTAAGTCTTTGATTCTGTAATCTCTGATCTTTTTCCTTCTTTAGGTTTTTAACCAGCGACAGAGCTTCTTGCTATTTTTAATTCTCAACATCCTTTAGCTATTATCTAAATCCATTATAGCCTACCTTATTCTAGGAATGATACTGATGAAAAGCTTTTTTGAACTCATCTATATCTACACCATTCATTTCACGACCTTAAGCTAATTCATAACCCTTATACTGAATCTTATTATACTTTTCTCAATTACTCTACTCAACACCTATAGTGCTATTCTTCTATTATATATTAATTCTAGTAATTCCTGCTGTATTATCAAATTTCACATGAACTTAGTTAATCATGGAATGATTCCTGGAAGAATCTTAAGTTAATTATTGATCTTTGCTGCTTAATTTAGTTTTCTCACTTTGGTTGGCATGCTGAATGTTTTATTTTATGATCATTAGTTTATCTTGTAACTCTTCTTGTAGCATCTAACTTTTATGATTTGAGCTTCTGCTAAGAAATGAGCCAGCCTCCTGTTTTAAAATCATCGCTTTTTTCTTGATATCTTCAGTTTCAGCTTCTTGTATTATCTAATCTAGAACTTCTCTTTAAAATCAGCTCTCTTTAGGCTAGTAATTCAATATTCCTTGCAAAGATTTCTCTTAATTTTCTAATATATTGATTTATTAAATTTCATCTGGGTCAGGAAGAGGCTCTAATATTGATTTATGCATAGTAGCCTCAGTCTTTTAACCAGATTAATGCTAGTTTAGGTGATTCTCCATTTTTAATTCCTGTTAGTAATGATCAAAGTTGTAGTATTGTGGAATTATGACTTAATTATCTTAAAATTTATTAAGTCTCGAATAAATAAAGGACCTTTTATAAAATTTTAACAAATATCTTAGCAATGAATAATATTGATGACTTCTTTTCCGATGCTGCTGTTAATGCATTCGTCTCAGGTATAGATGTTGATGTGACAGGGATTACTGGAGGACCTACAGACGATGAAGGAAAAAGGGAACTTGCAGAGGCATTATTGGAAAGTGATGAAATGCTATTAAGTTCACTATTAGGTTAAGAATTTGAAAAAGACATAAAAGCAGGAAAATATAGCCATTTAACACTTGATTAAGTGGCAGAAATACTCTATTAAAGTGAACTAGCCTCAATGATGTACCCAAAGGATAAGACAATTATTAATGGCTTTTTAACTGATAACAAAAATCAATAGGAGTATCACGATTAGGATTTAATCGACATAACCAGGATGTTTATCAAGTTATAAATATGATTCGCTAATTTATTCCATTGTATTTGATATTTGATCGATTGCCATAAATCTAATTGTAGGGGTTTTGGGGTTTTGGGGTTTTGGGG